CATAAATAAATGCAGGTTTGTTAAAAACCATACACTTTTTAATAAATAGTAGGCTTATTGATTAGGTTAATAGCTTGGTTGTGCTTTTTTCTGAATTAAAAAATAAAAAGTGATTGTTAGTGTAAAATAATAAATCTATTTTGAAAGTATGTACAATAACGTGACCAGATTTCTGATGAATTGCAAGTTCAGAAGTTAAAATATTATAAAGAAAAAAGACAAACGAGACTATATTTATTTGTTTATTTATTTGTTATTTTGGGGTAGTTCCTCTATTATTATAATAACTAATAATTATTAAGATATTTTCTGTAGTTAATACAATTAAACACTGAAGCTGGTGCTGCTCTAATTGACTAGACGCTGTTATCAATTAGTATTTACATTTAAATGAGCCTGGCCATTCTGTCACCATGGCAACATGAGTTGATTTTTAAAATCCACACACCTGTCTATAAAGTTATAGATCCAGATCATCTCGCTGCAAAACTCTTCACTCATCTCCCGTTGGCAAAGTTTGATCAACCTGTCTACTTTGGGAAGTTGTTGTGCAGTTGTCGAAGATGAATCAGCGACGCTCCAGAAGGACCAGGACTCTCCCTCAACACCTGAAGGACTTCCTGCTGGAGCGCGTGTCTTCCGCCGAGGAGCGGGCAGCGGTGGTCAGGCTGGACCACACATACAGCTGCATCTCTGACACTTCACTGGAGGAGCGACACTTGAGGAACGCGGCTGTCCTGCCTGTCCTCCTTCCTGCACCCTCAGTGTCCTCGGTGGGTGAGTGTCAGCAAGAGGAGCCGCTCTACATCCACGGCCGGAGTGTGCAGGACTACCGGCGCATCTACCAGAGTGTGCAGACGGCCTCCAGCATGAAGACGCGCGGGAGTTCCTACAGCCGTCAGCGGGGTTTGGAGATCAAGCAGCGGCTGTGGGAGACGCTGGACCGGCCTGCACTGCTGGAGACCGAGCAGCCTGATGGACGAGTGTTCATCACGGAGACCAGGTCTGGTTCCAGCATCGCTCCCCAAGTAATGGTGGACATCAGTGGAGAGCCGCTGCCTGAGAAGCCCCGAAGAAAGAAGCCCAGGCACTGAACCATCCTATAGTGCCAGATGGAGGACCAAGGGCACGTATGTAAATACTGTATATATTGTATATAGTTATAGTATAAGTTCTTAATGCATTAAATGTTACTTTTCATTCATGTTTTCATCACATTGCGGGATGTTTTGGTGATTGTCACTGCTGCTGGTCTTTGGCTCTTGTGCTCTTCTGGATGGTTTGCTGCACGTTGACATGCGTTTAGCAAGGTTGTCTATGCGGTTTCTTGCGGGTTGCTGGTCTCCTCTGAGTGGTTTATGGCACATTAGTGGTTGTTAGTGTTGGTTGTTGGGTTAGAGTAGGTTAGGGTCCCTCACATGGTTTGCAGCTTGACGTGCTGTGAGGGCTTGTGTGCATCAGTGATGCTGAGAGCTAAGCCACTGGTACTTCTCAGCTACCGGTAGGGTCACCCATAGTGGACAGGTCTCAGCTGAGATGCCCGACCAAGACAAACTACCTGATTCTGGACAGCAGAAGATTGGCCTGATGCTCCAGACATATATAGTTATAGGATCAACACAAACTACTGTTAGCTCTTCTCGGGAATATAGCACACACACATACAATATAAATCTTACAGACATCCAGAATTAAATATTTATTGTTAAATAAATATTAATTAATTATCTGAATGTAAAGAATAATAAAAAGAACACCTTTTACTGTCTTGTAATGGGTAAAATTAGTTTCACTAAAACACTTAAATGAAATTAATAGATTATTTCATCAAACATGTAATACTAACGGCCCTGGGGGGGAAATAAGAGACCACTTAAGACAAGGGGTGTCTTAACTCGGTCCTGGTGGGCCAGTGTCCTGCTAAGTTTAGCTCCAACTTGCCTCAATAAACACACCTGCCTGGAAGTTTCTAGTATATCTAGTAAGAGCTTGATTAAGCTGGTTCAGTTGTGTTTGATTAGGGTTGGAGCTAAACTCTTCAGGACCGAGTTTGGACACCCCTGACTTATTATTAGTTATCCTAAGATGAATTATTGCAAATTATTGCTAAAATTCTGTCTTTAATGTTATAAATTTGACTGAGAAATTACCAATGAAGAAGGTTTCAAGTCATTATCGAAGCAAGTAAATTTACAAATAAATCTACACAAATACAATGAAATTCATACAGATTTAAATAGCATACAATTGTGTAAATAATGACAGAATTATTTTTGTGTGCAAACGATCCCTTTATTTCAAAGAATTAAGTTCTTTTTTTGCATTTTAATGTAAAAAATATGAAATTATTAAAATGAAAATAATTCTCTAAACAAGAATCTGAAATGTCCAGTAGGTGGTAGTATTGTCTAATGAGTGAGCCAATTCAGTCAAACAACTGAATCATTCAACAAAGTGAACAGCTGTCTCTCTGGACTGTTTAAAACATGGATTCATTCAGAAAGTAGACACGCAGAAGATCTTTTGTGGCTTTAAAGGTAATGTTTTATACAATTCTCACATTTTTTCATTCGTCAATTAAAAAACAAGTGTAAATTTGACATAATTTACAACATGTGCACTCTCGAATCTCTGAGTGGCCATGAGCACAAGATCTGAGTTTAAAGATTTGATTTAGAAATTATTATTATTGACCTAGTTATTATTATTATTGCTATTATTTTTTGTGTCTGACACCTAGTCAAAATCCAGTTTTCAGTCTCAAAATGTAACATATGGTCGGGGACATCAGAGGTGAGGATCCACTTGCAGTTTATTTAAGAGAATCATAAGGCAAGCAACGGTCAAAACGGGTTCAAACTGGAGCGTACAGGCATTCCAAAGAGTGTGGTCAAGAGCAGCCAAATAGTCAGGACAGGCAACAAAACAACATGAACATGAACATGCGGGTCAAAAACACCGCAAAATAGATCCTTTTCACATTTGTGAATGCTGCTATTTGGACTTCCTAGTTGATTAAGATGTTTTATTATTGGTTATTTGTTTCTTTCTGTACAGTATGTTCTTAAAAGGAATTAATAAAAAAATTATTATAATAATTAAAAAAAGATCCTTTTCACATTTCCGGATTTCTCGGTAGCGGAAGGTCATAGTTGGTAGAGCGTCAGTGTAGTGAATGGGAGAGAACAACAAATAATTTTTTTTACATCCCTATATGCTGATATAATAAAAGAAATCCCCACAATGGTGTCAGAAAAGGGGAAAAAAAATGTGTGAGACTGATGACGGCAGCCAGAGGGGAGAATAATGTCAAATTTCCTCTCAGCCCCTATAGACGCTGCATTACAAACATCTCACATAAGCTGTATGGAATAAAATCACTGCCATAAATGTTTTGTGCGTAAATAAAATTCACACTTCTGTAATTATTAAAACGTAAAGGAAAACGGAGGGTACTCGTAATTTGACGAAGGTACAATTTCAAAATCTGCGATCAGAACAGACACAGATATGACATTTCCTTTGTTTGTATATGACTGCTAAATTTACGATGGGTGTGCTTTACTAACAGGAAATACAGTTTCACCACGAAGACCTGATAACGAGTACGAATCAAAAAGCAAAACTCCACTGTCAAAAGTACGTCACCACTGTCACAGGCATTAATAAACAAGCGAGAGCCATCGATCACAACGTTGCGCTTGCTGGGCACCATAGATATATATACACTAGATATCACATAGGCACCCTGAGCATGCATCATTTGTTTTTTTGTAATTTGATGCAAAGATGATATAATCCATTCATAAATGCATTTAAAAAATGTAAATATAAAAACTTAAGGATTTAAGATTATGATCGCTAAACACGTCATATCAGTCTAGTGAAAAGGGTCATATGAGATTGCCAACTGTGCAGACGAATACTGCAACTTAGAAAAGGTTGGTCAGTTAAATTATGCTATGTAAGTAATGTTTAGTCAGTTGATCGGTCAGTCAGTCAGTAAATCAGTCAATCAAACAGTCAGTCGACAGCGGCCTTTGGTGGATTTATGCAAGAAGAGCAAGTACGAATGGCACTTGTGAGAGAAATTTGAGACCTCAAAAAGTGAAAACAGCGGCCTCTGGTGGATTCACAAAAACAAAAAATGCAAAAAAAAAAAAAAAAAAAACATATCTCCTGGGATCTATTTGGCACTCTCCAGAAATGTATATAGGGGTACATTTTCAAAATGATCCATATATTAACAGAGGAGGTTTGACTATTCGTCTATTATTTGGTATTTTGATATGACTTTATATAATGGTCCATTAGTTAATGCTATATAATATATTTACTAACATGAACAAATAATTAGTAATACATTTATTATAGTATTTGTTAAACTTTTTAACATTAATTAATGTTAAGTTAAATAACATTAATTCATGTTAACTCACTGTGCTTTAACTAATGTTAACAAGCACAGTTTGGGATTTTAACAATTCATGAATTAATGTTGAACCATAATTTATAAATGCTGTACAAGATTATTCAAACTTAATGTTAGTAAATGTTAATGTTAGTAAAGACATTAATATGAACTAATGAACCATTATTCCGATGTGTTACTGGTGTGTTCTGATCTTCAGGTGAATATGTGGATGCATTTTTCTCAGTGATAACCTAATGTACCTCACCTCCACTTTATTCAAAGGTGCTCAGATCACTTCCTGTTGAGCTGAACTGTGTTATCAGCGCAGCGCAGACTCACAGAGAGCGAGAAAAACACCACCGACTAAAGGGCAAACCTAAAAAAACAACAACACAGCTCTCATAAAGTCAGAGCATTCACGCCAACACCCATGTTTGAAGTCTGCCGGCTCCAAAACATGACTCGGAAATATGAGTCATGAGTCCACAGCGCTTTAATGAGACGCACAGAGTCCAGCCCTCTGTCAGTGTTGCCATGTCAGTGCTTAAAAACACAGCAGCACTAACCCGTTTCCCTTTTTTTTTTTTTTTTTTACAGTTTTCTGCTTCCTCATTTCTCAGTTTTTCCAGCTTTTGACAATTCAGCGATGATTTGAATATGCTATGAGTGTGTTCAGTGTGAGGACTCATGCTCACACACTCCTCCTGCTCACTTCCACCTCACGCTGAAACCCGTCTAGCAACACAAATCTGGGCACATTTTTGTCTCACACACCGACAGAGCAACACTACAGGTCAGAAGTTATGGGGCTGAGACACGCTGGATCAATCCGCACAGATACTCGGAGATGACGCTTTGTCGCTAATGTGAGTTATTTGAGCCTCAGAGATTAAGGAGCAGAGGGATTTTTCTGTTCTTTAGTGGTGAGTTCAGCTTTTTTGTAAATTAGCTTTTAAAATATCTCATTTTACTATCAATGCGGTTAAAATCTCTGCTGCACAGTTGTCCGTGAGTGTATCTGAATGTTCAGACAAAGTTATGTTCTTCAGAAAATTATAAACAAATATAACAGCTGCAAAGGAGAAATGCAATGCAATTCAATAGTAAAACAAGGGTTTAGGTGTAATTTAAGCCTGGCATGTACGTAGAGATAGTTAACATATTCATTATTATATTATATTATTCTTTATTATGTATAATAGCTTTGTTTAGATTTACTAGGTAATGTATTACTTTGTTTTTGTTTTGTCTACTTCTATTTTTGCTTTCACTTCATTTAGCTTGTTTATTTATGTATTTTATTATTATTATTTTTTACTTTTGATCTTTTTTGTTGTTGTTTTGCAGTGCTTTATTTATTTAATTTGCTTTGTTTTTGTTGTTTCACCTTTGTTTTGTTTTGCTTTGAAGTTTGTTTATGCTGCTTTTACTTGGTTTTAATTAAACATTTTTGCTTTTGCTGTGCTTTGTGTTGTTTCTAAAGTTGTTGTTGTTTTGTTTTTTGTTTCATTGTGTTTTAAAATGTTGTTTTATATACCAAAATGTTAGAATAACATATGGAGACGCATACAATCTATACAGTATTGCCAGGTATTTGTATATTTATATAATATTTTGTTTTATTTTGTTGTTGTTGTTTTGCTGTAGTTTATTCGATTTTTCGTTTTGTTTTTGATGTTTTACCTTTGTTTTGTTTTGCTTTGAAGTTTTTTATGTTTCTTTTGTTTTGATTTGCTTTTAATTAACATTTTTGCTTTTGTTGTGCTTTGTTTTGTTTCTGAAGTTGTTGTTGTTTTGTTTTGTGTTTCGTTGCATTTCAAAAAGTTGTATTATATACTAAAATGTTAGAATAACACATGGAGACACATAATATCTAGACGTATTGCCAGTTATTTGTATATTTATATATTATTATTATTTATTTATTTTTGTTGTTGTTGTTTTGCAGTGCTTTAATCTATTTTTTCGGTTTGTTTTTGTTTTACCTTTGTTTTGTTTTGCTTTAAAGTTTTTTATGTTTCTTTTTGTTTTGATTTGCTTTTATTAAAACATTTTTGCTTTTGTTGTGCTTTGTTTTGTTTCTAAAGTTGTTGTTGTTTTGCTTTGTTTCGTTGTGTTTCAGACGTTTGTTTTATATACTAAAATGTTAGAATAGCATATGGAGACAAATATCCAGACAGCATTGCCAGTCATTTGTGTATTTATATATAATTTTTATATATAATTATATATATAATTTTTGTTTTATTTTTCACTTAGATTTTTAAAGCACTGTTTTGCTGTGCTTTATTTACATTTTTGGGTTTGTTTTTGGTGTTTCACCTTTGTTTCGTTTTGCTTTGAAGTTTATGTTGCTTTTGCTTTAATTTGCTTCCATTGTAACATTTTTTGCCTTTGTTGTGCTTAGTTTTGCTTCTCATTGTTTTGCTTTGTTGTATAACAAATAACAAAATTATAGAACAAAGTTGGTGGTTCATTCTGCTGTGGCAACCCCTGATAAATCAGGGAATGAGCCGAAGGAAAATTAATGTATGAATGTTCTAAAAATACCACACAGAGACACATAAAATCTTGAATGCCTCGCCAGTCATGTGTATGTTTTACATGGAGCAATTCATAATTGATTGGCCGCCTGAAGACACTGTCGGACCAGTTATTGTACGGAGTGGCTTCAGCATATGATCACAAGTGGTTTGGACACATTTTTCTTGACATTAGAGGCGTAACTCGCCTGCAGTTCATTCCACGGAGGCACAGCAAATGATGAGTGTACTTTAAACACTCACGCCTCTGTCAGCAGGTCCTGGTGTGGCACTTTTAATGAGGATTAATTAAATAACAGGATAATTTATCAGTTGCAACAGACATATCAAATAGGTTAGTTCACTTGTAAAAGTTAGTTGTATGTTGCAAGGACCTCAGTGAAACCGAGATTGCAGTTTGCACACGCAGAATGATGCTTTCCTGTTTTACGACTTGATGATTCTCCTATTTTGGTGTGTGTAGGTTTGGGGTTTTACTGCATGTGTTCCTCTGCAAAATACACTCACTTCCTGCAGACTGAGATGTGCAATAGCTGACTGTTGCTTTATCTTCTCATGCGTTTATTTGTATTTGCTTCCCTCTTTGAAGTTGCATGGAAGTCATTTAAAGTAATATGCTAATTTGGATTAAAATGCAGTCAGTTTTTTTGACAAGCTATTTAGTCGTGCAATGTGTTTTAAACATGCCTTTTTTATTAAATATCGGTTAGTTCATTTACACCAATGGTCAATTCCTAGAGGGCCGCAGCTCTGCATAGTTTAGCTCCAACCACCTCCATCTAGCACATGCTTAATAGTCTATAATATTCAATTCAGCTTTATTTGTGTAGCGCTTTTACAATGTAGATTGTGTCAATGCATGCGGCTTCATATAAAAGATCATAGTAAATTGAAACAGTGTAGTTCAGTTTTCAGAGTTTAAGTTCAGTTTGGCTCAGTTCAGTGTAGCTTAAGAATCACTACTGAGAGTCCAAACACTGAAGAGCAAATCCATTATATATTGTGATAACGAACATGCATGATATTATTATCATGGATACTTGAAAATACTGTGAATAATTAAGAATATTGAGACTGTCACGGTAGCATGATCATCTTACAGCAAGAAGGTTGTTCGAGCCACGGCTGGGGCCGTATGGCATTTCTGTGGCGAGTTTGCTTGTTCTCCCCATGTTGGCGTGGCTTTCCTCTGAGCGCTTTGGTTTCCTCCACAGTCCAAACACATGCGCTATGGGTGAATTTAATAAACTAAAAGGGCTATAGTGTATGTGTGTGAATGCAAGAGTGTATTGGTGTTTCCCAGTGATAGGTTTCAGCTGGAAGGGCATCAGCTGTGTAAAACATATGCTGGATAAGTTGGTGGTTCATTCCACTGTGGCGACCTCTGATGAATGAAGGGATTAAACCAAATTAAAATGAATGAATGAATGAGATTGTTTTATTAGTTGTATTCAAAGCATAAAATGGGCTTAATAGGCCATTTTTTCAAACAAACATTTTCAAATTTGCCTAAAGGACATGTTATTGCGGAAAATAGAAAAGGTTTTACCCTCTTTAGGCCCTTTATTTGTTAACACTTTACATTAAGACTCCATTAGTTAATGTAAAATAAATGGCCAATAAAAACAAAAACGATCGAGCCTCAGCTGGGTCGGTTGGCGTTTCTTTAGTGAAGTTTGCATGTTCTCTCTGCGTTCGTGAGGGTTTCCCCCACACTCCAAAGACATGCCATACAGGTGAATTAGGTAGGCTGCACCCACTTTATATTAAGTGGCCTTTCTAATATGTTGTTGCACAGGAATTAATAGTTTGTTACAATGTACTTATTGTGTAAATACATGTATTTACTGTGTACTTATGCTTGATTAAATACCTGTATGTAATTACATCTGTAATTAACTGTTGACCATCCCTTACACTTTAACCCACCCTAAAACCTACCCATACCACCAAACCTGTCCATAACCCAACCTCTATCCCAACTCAAAAGCACCATAAGTGTTTTCAAATACATTATGAACACAGTAAGTACATTGTATTTATTTTTTGATGCAAGTACATAGTAGTTAAGGACACTTAATATAAAGTGGGACCGGTAGGCTAAATTGTCCATAGTGTATGAGTGTGTATGGGTGTTTCCCTGAGATAGGTTGCGGCTAGAAGGGCATTCTCTGCGTAAAACATGTGCTGGATAAGTTGGCGGTTTGTTCCGCTGTGGCGACCCTGGATTAATAAAGGGACTGAGCCGAAATGAATGAATGAAAGGGACAGTTCACTTCAAAATGAAAAATTCCTCACCATTTACTTGCACTCGAGTGATTCTTACTGATAAACAAAATTGAAGATATTTATAAATATGTTGGGAAAAAGCAGCCATTGACATCCACAGTAGGAACCAAAAATACAATGAAGTCAATGACTGTTTTTTTTTTCAACATCTTTCAGTATATCTGCTTTGATTTCAACAGACGATAGAAACTCAAACAGGTTTGAATAGGTGGAGGGAGAGTCAGTTATGACAGAATTGTCTTTTTTTAGTAGTAGTGATAGGAGCTGTGTTGGGGTTTATGATAAAGACATTAAGCGGGTCGATTCATATAAATATTTAGGGGTGAATATTGATTGACAACTGAATTGGCACTCTCAGGTGTCAAGTCTTTGTGCAAGAATTCATCAGCGATTACACTGTTTACGTAGACTAAGATTGTTCGGAGTGAGTAGCAGCATAATGCTGACTCTTTATAAAGCAAAAATAGAGTCTGTTTTAAGATATGGGATTATTGTTTGGTTTGGGAATCTGACAGTAAAAATGAAAACCCGAGTAAATAACCTGATGAGAGTGGCAGGAAAAATAATGGGAATTTAGACACTTGGTTCCCTAAAAGATATCTTTGAGTTGTGCACAATCCAACAAGATTTGTTGTAAGCATTGCACAATAAAATGTAAGCGCATAACACAATAAAGCATTTAGACATACAGTAATACAGCAAAACAAAGCTGAAAGTGTAGCTTGTTTATTTTTTTATGAAAAAGGTTGAGCTATTATTATGCTATCAGGGCTCAACAATAAGGACTGCCAGGTGGCGCGGGGCCAGCGTGTGAGATGCTCGGGACAGTAGACAGGATAGTTACCGGCCCGATTGGGCCAGTGCTGCCTTGTCACTAAAGTTTAATTTGCCTGTGACTGTTTGTCAGTTGCGTGCAAATACGGTCTTAGAATTGAGAAACAGTTTTTTCCAGCCTTCAAATAAGAAACAGTGTTTTCAAGCCTTCAAATGCTACCTTCTCGGTTCTTCTTCTCTGATTGGATGTTGTGAGCACATTTTTTTTTCGTATCAACCAGTACAGCGAAGAGACTGCAACATGACGGTAACATCAA